ATAGATTAATTAAATACCCCAATTAAAACACATATGGTAGCAGAATGGATAGGAAATCATCACCTGCACATATGCTGCCTAGAAGAGACCCACCCAAAAGAAAAGACCTATGCAGACTAAAAGTGAAGGGGTGGAAAAAAATATTCCAAGCAAATAGACAGGGAAAAAAAGCCAGGGTAGCAATACTTATATCAGACAAAATAGACTTCAGAACAAAGGCCATAAAAAGAGACACAGAAGGACACCTCATAATACTCAAGGGAAGAATCCATCAAGAAGGCATAAATAATGTAAACATATATGCACCCACCATAGGAGCACCCAAATATATAAGGAAAATCTTGGAGGACTTCAAGAAGGATACTGATAACAATGCAATTATAGTACGGGATTTTACCACCCCACTGTCAAAAATAGATACATCTTCCAAACAAAATGTCAACAAGGATATTGTGGAACTGAACAATGCGTTAGATACAAAGGACTTAACTGATATGTACAGAACTTTTCATCCCAAAGAAGCAAAATACACATTCTTTTCAAATGCACATGGAACATTATCAAAGATAGACCACATGATAGGACACAAAACAAACCTCAACAAATTTAAGAAAATTGAAATCATATCAAGCATTTTCTCAGACCACAAGGGCTTGAAACTAGAAACCAACCTCAAGGAAAAAACTCAAAAACACTCAAATTCATGTAGATTAAGTAGCATGCTATTAAACAATGAATGGGTTAAGAAAGAGATCAAGGAAGAAATCAGAACGTTTCTGGAAAGGCATGAAAATGAACAAACAACAGTCCAAAACCTGTAGGACACAGTGAAGGCAGTCCTGAGAGGGAAGTTCAAAGCAACATGGGCCTATCTAAAAAAGATAAAAACATTACAAATAAACAGTCTAACCCTACATCTACAAGAACTGAAGGAACAACAACAAACAAAGCCCAGAATGAGTAAAAGGAAGGAAATAATAAAAATTAAAGCATAATTAAACAACATAGAGTTGAAAAGAACAATTCAAAGGATCAATCAATCCAGGAGCTGGTTTTTTGAAGAGATAAAACAAAATCAACAAGCCTTTAACCAGATTTATCAAAAGAAAAAGAGGACCAAAATAAGTAAATTCAGAAATGAAAGAGGAGAAATGCCAACTGAAACCAGAGAAATGCAAAGGACATACAAAGGATTGTAAGAAATCACTATGAATAATTATATACCAAGAAATTTGAAAACCTGGGTGAAATGGACAAATTTCCAGGAAAACATAATCTTACAAAACTCAATCAAGAAACAGAAAGCCTGAACAGACCAATAATAGCTGAAGACAGTGAAGCAGTAATCAAAAAAGCCTGGCACACAAAAGCCCTGGACTGGATTGTTTTACAGGAGAATTTCACAAAACATTTAAGGAAGAGCTAACCACAATCCTTCTCAGACTATTCTAAAACATCCAAGAAGATGGCAGACTCCAACACGTTTTATGAAAGCATCATCATCCTAATCCCATAACCAGATAATGACACAACAAAGAAACAAAACTACAGGCTAATATCGCTGATGAACACAGATACTAAAATCCTCAACAAAATATTGGCAAACTGCATCCAGCAATACATTAAAAAGATCATACACCATGAGCAAGTGAGATTCATCCCAGGAATGCAAAGATGGTACAATATTCGCAAATCAATAAATGTAATACATCACATAAAGAAAAGGAAAGACAAAAATCACATGATCATATCAATAGATGCAGAAAAACCATTTGATAAAGTATAGCACCCATTTATGATAAAGACACTCATCAAAGTGGAAGTGGAGGGAGCATTCCTCAACATAATAAAGGCCATATATGAGAGACCTACAGCCAACATCATACTCAATGGGCAAAAACTAAAATCTTTTCCACTAAGATCAGGAACAAGACAAGGCTGTCCACTTTCACCACTTCTATTCAATATAGTACTGGAAATTCTAGCCATAGTGATCAGACAAGAAAAAGAAATAAAAGGCATCTAATTTGAAAAGAAGGAAGCAAAACTGTCACTGTTTGCAGATGACATGATAGTTTACATAGAATACCCTATACACTCCACCAAAAAACTATTCAACCTTAAGTGAATTTAGCAAAGCAGTGTGACACAAGGTCAATATTCAGAAATTGAAGGCATTTTTGTACACCAAGAATGAAATATCAGGAACAGAAATCAGGGAAAAAATCCCATTTGTTATAGCAAAAGAAAAATAGTGTACCTAGGAATAAACCTAACCAAGGAAGTAAAAGACCTATACTCAGAAAACTACACAACACTGAAGAAAGAAATTAAGGAACATACAAACAAATGGAAGCCCATGTTCATGGATTGGAAGAATTAACATCATCAAAATGTCAATACTACCCAAAGCAATTTACAGATTCAATGCAATCCCTATTAAAATACCAATGACATATTTCACAGATATAGGACAAACATTTCAAAAATTGATATGGAAACACAAATGACCCTGAATAGCTGAGGCAACTTTATGAAAGAAGAACGAAGTAGATGGGATCACAATACCTGACACCAAACTATATTATAAGGCCACTATAATCAAAACAGTCTGGTATTGCCATAAGAACAGACATATAGAGCAATGGAACAGAATTGAGAGTCCAGAAATAATCCCAAGTTTTTAAGGTCAATTAATATTTGACACAGGGCACAGAAGCATAAAATGAAGTAAAAATAGCCTCTCCAACAAATGGTGTTGAGAGAATCAGACAGCTACATGCAAAATAATGAAAGTGGACCACCAACTTACACCACACACAAAAATCAACTCAAGATGGATGACACACTTAAATATAAGTCACAACACCATAAAAGTTTTAGAGGAGAACATAGGTAAGAACATCTCAGATATTCCATGAAGCAGTATTTTCACCGATATGTCCCCTACAGCAAGGGACAAAAAGGAAAGAATAAACAAATGGGACGTCATCAAAATAAAAAGCTTCTGCACGGCTAAAGAAAACATCAGCAAAATGAAAACAGAACTGACCATATAGGAAAATATATTTGTCAATGATAAGTCAGGCAAGAAGAGTTGGGTCTCCAATATATATAAAGAACTCACATGACTCCATTCCAGGAAGACAAACAAACCAATTAGAAAATGGGCAAAGGACCTGAACAGACATTTCTCCAAGTAGGACATACAAGAGGGCCCAGAGACATGAAAGGATGCTCTGCACACTAGCCACCAGAGAGACAGAGAGATGCAAATTAAAACTACCATAAGATACCACTTCACTCTGGTCAGAATGGCCATCATAAACAATACAGCAAACAAATGCTGGCAAGGTTATAGAGAAAAGGGAACCTTAGTACAGTGTTGGTGGGAATGCAGACTGGTAGGAAATAGCACACTATTTCCACAGACACTATGGAAAATAGTATGAATTTTCCTCAAAAAACTAAGAATGGAACTGCCTTTTGACCTGGCAATTCCACTGCTTGGATTATACCCTAGGAATCCTAAAACATCAACTGAAAAGAACCTATGTACCCCAATATTCATAGCAACACAATTCACATTAGCCAAGTGTTGGAAGCAACCTAAGTACCCATCAGTAAATGAGTGGATCAAAAAACTCTCGTGCATGTACACAATGGAATACTACACAGCAGAAAGAATGGAGGAGCTCTTACCCTTGGTGACAGCATGGATGGAACTGGAGAGCATTATGCTAAGTGAAGTAAGTCAGACGGTGAAAGACAAATGCCATATGATCTCACCTATAAATGGAACCTAATCAACAAAACAAATAAGCAAAATATAATAAGAGGCAATGAAATGAAGAACTGACAGTGACCCAAGGGGAGAAGGGTATGGGGAGGGGGATGAAGAGGGAAAGAAGGGAAAGGGTCATCAAGGAACAGCTGTAAAGGATCCACGGTCAAAACCAAAGGGGGGTAGGATTGAGGTGGGGAGGTAGGGGTGGTGGGGTGGGGGAAAGCAGTGGCAGGAAAATGGAGACAACTATAGTTGAATGACAATTAAAAAAAAAGATGGAAGCAAATGATAGAAATTCAGGGTCCTACAAAAACAAAAGAGAACACAAAACCAGAAGTTACAGCAACCCTACTCCCCACTAAGAAAAACAGAAGCACCATCTAGTAAAGACACTGTACTTCTCTGTACTCATGAAATAAGGTTCTCTTGAATTAAGACACCTAGTAAGAGGTGTCTTAACCTCACACCTGAGTCCACATTGAATTCCTGCTGCCACTGGCACAGAAAATTAAAGTCATTTAAAAAAAAACACAAAAACTATAGATATCAGAGAACATCGTTACAAAGCTATCATGTGAAAAACTCTTCAAATCAGAAATTGAAATATTCAGAACAGAAACAGACAAACGTTAACCAAATTCAGAAAAATTAAGAGAAAGACAAAATCATCTCATGATTTACATGTATTGCTTTGCTAATAAAATACAATTAATGGTACTTATACCACACAGGGTATTGTGAAGATTAAATGAAAATACAGGTATAAAGCACATGACACAGTATACACTTTTGATTGAGCAAAGAATAATCAATGTTAACTATAATTTAAAAAATAAATCACTGTACCATTCATAAAGGAATCACTATATGAAAAGCACCATACTAGGGACAGTAGGTTTTACTAAAAAAGGAGAAGATGTTTGCAACCAAGGGAGGAAAAGTACAAGTTAAAATACTTGGGATTGATACTACCATGGCATCAATATCATCAATTTGGTTCAAAGTTCAGCTATAAAAGAACAGCCAGACAATGTCCAATCTGTCTAGAAAGAGTTCTCAGATTAAGTCAGTCTTAAACAGTTTACAAGATGAGAACAGGTCTGGGTAGGAAAAAAATGTCCCAGGGAGCAGCACTGAGGACTTTCAATGGGGACCACTCTCATGCTAGTTTAGGGTGGCTGTGCCCTTTGTGCTGCTCTCACCCCCTACTTACTTCCTTCCTCTTGCTCTCTGCTTCCTTCTTCTGCTAGAGGCAAGGCACCAGAGATCCACTGGCCATCTTTGGTTTCTCCCAGTATAGACTCCAGGTCTATTTCATCTATGGAGCTCCCCTCAGAGGACAACAGTTTATCCAAACCGAATTTGAGTATCTCCCCCAACTTGAATGGAGAAAACAAAGTCCAGTCAGTTCTCATGAAAACAAACATTGGGTATCCAGGGGTTTGCTAAGTGGCTTAAGGACACTAGGCATGTTCCTTCCTTAATGTTGGCCTTTCTTCTCTCCCCTAAGAAACCAATAGGGTCATTTAGTATCTGGATAATGGATAAACAGAAAGGTGATAAATGATCAGAGATGTTGACTTTGACAATTCTCATTAACAAAAAACAATTTATGAGCCTCCAACCTTTGAAGAATAACAGTAATTTCTTGCATTACCTTAGCACTTCTGACTGAGCCTCTTTCATAAGCATTCCCAACAGCCACATGAGAAGTCAGAGATGCTATTAGCTACTCTCCCACCTCTCCTACTGCCAACTTCTTGGAAAGAGAAGGCTACATACACAAGGTACTTAACCTCTGCCATTAACTGTTTTTTTTTTTCCTTTGGTAATTTGGTCTCCTACCACAGTGCTCTATGGAAACCATCCTCACAAAAACCAGTTACAACTCTTGACTGCTGGATGTGAAGACCATTTCTCATTTTCCCAGTTGTTCCTCTGGTGCTGTGCTATACTGCTTCTCTTCCCTCTTGCTAGTACCCTCTGCATGTTCCCTAGGGCTATAGGAACCACCCAAAGAAGTTCAGATCACTTTTCCTGACTTAAGCATCCTACTTCCAACTGTGCACTAACTCTGAGATTCTAAATCAAGCTGCATTCACATCTTGACTCCTCATTCACACCTTGTCCTTTTAGAGATAATTGGGTCAGTTATCTCTAGATGGTCTATTCTGTGAGTAACGTGGAAATCTTAAGGTATTCTGTAATAGCTTGGAAAAAACTTTGCTCTAAGCATGAACACACCTGGCTACACAATTATTTAACCTTGGTATATAGAACATGGTGACTGGCTTTGTCAACTGGCATCAAAAACAGAAAAATGTCCACTATTTATGATAAAGATTGGTCCATACTGGGGCACTCCCTTCAGTTCACCTGTATTTACACTTTCACTTGTGATATGTCTCAGTCATTAAGGGACTCCATGTGTTTTCAGAGAAGCAATACATTGCAGTAATTACGGGCACATGCTTGGAGGTTAGGGCGTACTTGCAATGGAGTCCTAAGTGTGAACGTGCTTGGGCAAATTATTTAACATGGGAATAAAGATAGTGCCTATCTCATTATGTTGTTGTTCATACTCAGAAAAAAACAACTGGAAAGAAGCACTTCATGTAATAAAATACTTAGCACACAATAAGCATTCAATAAATCTTCACTATTATCTGCATCTCTCTCTTAGTTTCTACTGTGTTCTCTTGCAGGATGATGAACCTCTTTTGAGGACTTCAGAATCCTAAATGGCTTAGAATTACTAAACCACACTCACTTTGTTTACTACTGGATTCCTTTTGTTTTACAAAAACCCCCCAAAACCAAAACTGCTTTCCTCTGAGACAAGGGCAATAGTTGACACCTTTGTTTTTAGCAACCAGAGATAATGGGTACAGTCTGTGTAGGGGAAGAGATCCATCAAGCACTGGAGCCAAAACATAACCTTCCAGTAACCATGAGTTGGGCAAGATTATGACAGAGACCCTCTCAAACAACCAGTGGTCTACGATCCCACTAGTATTCAGCCTTTGCACAGAGGTATGTCTATACAATTTACACTGATGTGCCCAGCAGCCTGCTCCACAGGGACACCCTGACAGAATCCTCTAAGCTCTACCCTTTCTGGGAGAGAGCTCAAAAATTTTATAACTTTTCCTCCTCCAACAGCTAGAACATGGGCACTCTTGAGGCTCTGTCATTCACCCCTTTACCTCACCCAACTTGAACTTATCACTGAACTCATCACTATCAAGTTCCTATGGAGAACTGGTGTACGGAGAACTGTATCTAAGAATTTCTATATTTTACCTAGTCAAGCTTTCATCCAACATTTATAATTATCTCCTAAACAATGTGAAAACAAAATGTACAGCTTGCCCTGCCACCACCATGGTTAAACATGTAAGTATCAGTTGGGAACTGATACAAAATACAAAAAGAACTGATAGGAAAAATACAAAAAAAGAAAAAACACACTTTACACTTTAAGATAAACAAAAACCAAACAAGTGAACACATAAAACCCAGGGTAACTCTTCCTAGTACTAGTCCCAAAATAAATGAAACCTTGAGCCTTTCCTGTGAGCCACTGACTCCCTAATAAAACCAAAGTAAGCCCTGTACTTTGCAGAGCTAATGTGTAAAGATATGTATGGCCTTTACCATATAAAATCATGTTAAGAAAATGATTTATTTGTTTTTAATCTATGCTCAGACTAATTCTAAACCTGGTAACTTCCCTTATAATATTTTGTAATTTTTTTCTTATAAATACTTGTGTATTTTGTTTGATAAATCAGCCCTTTTAAAACTGTTCTCACAAACTTTTGCAAATGAAATTCCTGTCTGTCGAGTTTTCCTCTAACAGTAGTTTGTTCATATTTTATCGTTTACAGAAAACTGTTGACTAAAGCCTAAATTGCTTCATTTTCCTAGAACTTTGCCCTACCTTCTATCTCCCTAATTCCTATCCTCATCAATCAGGTTTAAAACCTTATAGCCATCTTTGAATTTCCATCTCCCTAGTTACCCACCTCTAAACAGTAATGCCTATCATTTCTTCTTTTGAAATGTTTCTCACCCAGACCCTCCCACTGCTACTGCCCCTCTCAGAGATTTATTGCTCACTTCATGCCTAGACCTTTCCTGTATTCTATGTGGACCTTTCCTGTATCTTAGTTGGTCATTCTGCTTCCAGTCCCTCATCTCTGAATCATAATACTGATTCTAATTTTAACCCAAGGGCTGCAACAGAGCAACATTAAGCCCTCTTCCAGAAAAGCGCTTTCTCTAAAGTCTTTCAACCTTGCATTTGTTTCCAATCCAGTATCCCCTTCTGGTAATTAACTCTAGTTCTTTCCTCCATTCTTCCTATATAAATATACATCCTTCTCTGAGTAGAAAGTAATGTAAATCTCTAATCAAAGGGTGTGGGGTTACGATGGACGCATGAGATTAACCAGTATTTATTACAAGGAATTCTTTATTTTACCTAATTCTCTTAACATCCCACTGAGGTAACTTGCAGTACCCTTTTTCAGAAAAGTTAACAGAGTAGATCTAGGAGATTAAGACATCTTTCGAAGCTACATTCAATAAGTGACAAGGCTTGGATTTGAATCCAAGTCAGATGGATCCAAAGTGTATCATTATTCTATGTTCTTCTGCCTTTTAATATCATATTCATGTCTATCTCCTACAGCAGCCTGCACACATTAGGTACTTCGGGAGATAGAGTCTGGCCAGGGAACAGATGTGTAATTAGGAGAATGGGTGGTTAATGCTAATTCCTTTCATTTACTTTCTCATCCACAGAGAGCATTGACATATTCTGACACATTCTGAAATGAAGAACAACCTCTTATACCTGGAGATTAGCATCAGCTGCAGGTTTCTGGGCTCCCAGAGTAAAATGGCCGCCCTCTATGACTGTGCTGGTAAGCTGCAGCTTGGAGGTGGCCTTCCGACAGATTATTTCTTCCACAGTGTCTCTGCCAATCAGCCGAATAACTTTAACAGACCTGTACAAAAGTCAAAGGAGAGGAGGTGGTATCAGAGTCTGCAAAGATGGGTGCAAACATGGAAGGCTGATGCAGCGAAAAGGAAGTAAACCCAACGTGCCATGTATGATCCTTAGGTCAAAAGATAAGACCCATCTTTTTAGCTTAGTTCCGTAATACCCTAATTCTATATTTTAACTTAATTACATATTAACTCAGGAAGGATGAGTTAAATAATTTCTGAAGGTTCCTTCTAGTCCTTTCACAATTTGATTTTGCTCTTTTGAACCAAGCAAGTCTGGAGTGAGAACGTGCCCTGCCCAGTGAGTAGCAAACCTGGGCTAACATCTACCGAGTGGTCTCTCAGCCTCATCTGGGACTGTCACCGGGACTGTGGTCTTCACCTTCCTCCCCAACCCAGAACTACTGAGAAGCCAAGAAGTAGAAAAGTGCTGATGCTTAAGTCTCTTACTTGTTCTGGCCAATTCGGTGAGCCCTGGAAGCTGCTTGCAAGTCATTCTGAGGGTTGAAATCACTGTCAACAAAAATAACAGTATCGGCTGCCGTTAAGTTCATGCCAACTCCACCTGAAAACAATGCACAAAGGAATGTGACAAGCAGTACATGGACTAGGCTCTAGAAAAGAAAGACACAGGCTACAGAGGTCAGATTACAAACTGGGATCATCAAAATAAGTGACTCCTTCCTTCAAACTCACCTCTACCTCCAACACCAGAAACTTGTTGTGGTTAAAACTACTCCCTGAATTCCTACTGTCTGACTTGGAAAATTTAACTACTGAAAGTAACAGAATGCAAGGAGCAGGGGTAAGCAGAAAAAGTGGATACTTAAGTTAGTGCTATGAAACCATTTTATATCTCTTGTTTAAAAATCTTGATTGGTTCATTTAGAACAGTCTGTGGAAAAGGACGCATGCTCTTTCAGAAAAGTTTTAAACCTGAGAGAGCTCTTCTGCTGTGGGCACTGTTAAAAGAACAGTTCTTAACATCCATTGCAAGTTATAACTAAGTACTAAGATCTCTGACATAAGCTAATGCAAGGGGGGGATGACATTTATTAGACTCCTAAGCAGAGCACGAAATACTTCCCTCTGTACTTGCTTCCACATTAATCAAAGAAAAAATAACAAAGCTAATCTCTGAACAAGAATATTCCATGCATCAGCTTTCTGAACTGCCTTCAGCACTGCTGGAAAAGGGCTCCTTGACTATGAGAATTAATTAAAAGCACCATGAAGACAAATTACAGCCTTCTCTTCGACTAGTGTGGAAACAAGTACAAAAGGGACTTCTGCTGGCCAGGGTTGTTACAGCTCACTGCTGAAACAAGCAAGCCTAAAAAGGCTTGTTCCAAGAGACTGAACCGATGACTAACTTTTGAGACTGGCTATGAACTCTATGCTGGATCTCAAAACAAGCCAGGCAGGAGCATTCTAATTAAAGCCTTCAAATAAAATTAAAGTTGGAATAAAGAGATAATAAAGACTGATTACTGAGAGATGTTATATTGTACCTTATAATAACACCAGCTTACTACTTGCTAGGCACTCTTCTAAGCAATTTACATATATTAACAAGTTCACAGGGTATTAACAAATACCCTATGAGTAGTTACTATTATTATCCTCATTTTATCGATGCTGAAATGGAAGCACAGAAAAGTTAAGGGACTTAATCAGAGGTTGCACAGTAAGAAAGTGAGAGCCAGGATTCAATCCCACATAGTCTGGCTCCAGAACCTATACTTTTACCCACTGTACCATATTTCCCAGGCACTTATTTAAGTGTTCTCCATAAAAATAACCTTATTCTAGGGTTAATGTTGTCTAAGTTCGGTTCTTCTTCATTTAAAAGTTGTACAAGTTATTTGATAAATAAGCTTATCTCCTTATTTGGGACATGTTTCTGAGCTACCTGCCATCTGGTGGCAATATGACTCAATCACAGAGATATTTGAAAGTTGGAGAAAAACCTGTTGACTAAATGATAATACTGTAAATCTGCAGCTAGAAAGTGATAGCAAACACGACAGTATTTGGAAAAGGCTCGTACCTGGGTCTGCTTTGGTTCCTGAGAACTCTATTTTGACTGATTCTGAGTGCTCTAAGGAGATTAATTGAAACAAAGAGGTCTCTTTCTTCTTAATTTTACACATAGCAAACATAATGCTGCTCTCAGAATACAAAGATAAATAAAACCACTAAGGCATAAATAGAGCTGTGTTCCCAACACCAAAGATATGTTTCCATGATTCTGACAGTTTCATCCAAGACTACCCCCTGAGACAATGACAACACGAATGCAGGGCTGAGATTCAAAATGCAATCTATAACTTTGGTAGAGTGAGGCCAAATAAATCTGGTTATATCTTTTGAAATACAGAAAAAACACTTACACAGGTGAAACAATCTCCTTACAGTCAAGGATTATAACTAACACTTCTTTTAAAGTGTTAGCACTTTTAAAGTACTAGACACTTAATGAATGCTTTCTAATTAACACCAAATTCCATTTTTATAAAGATATTGATCTCTATATATAACAGAAGATACATATTGCTTTAGTGTTCCTCCATCTATCCAGATCTATCAAGATTTAGATCTACCAAAAAAAAAAAAAAAAAAGGAAATAATGAAACTAAGAGTCTATAAGTTAAAAAATGATTTGAGGTCCATTTACTTCATGTTGTGAGAATAATTTCCAGGAACAAATTTCAAATGATTTAACAGTATAATGAAAGCATTCTCTAATTGGTAAAGCAATACGCATGTCATATGTAGTATCGATGACTTCAGTCATAAAGATACTTTTATAAATAATTCTAAAGAACTGGCAATTTCACTATAAACATTTACATTTTTTAATTTTTATTTTATTTCATTAAAATATTATATTGTTTATACTATTAGAGCTGTCAGTTTTTCCTCCTTTGTCCCCCTCCACCTAGCACACCTCACCCACTCCCAGTCAATCCCCAAAACGTTGTCCATGTCCATGGGTCCTTCATACATGAACTTCAACAAATCCCTTCACCTTCTTCCAATCAGTCCCCACCTCCCCCCACCCCTCTCTTACAGTTGTCAGTCTGTTCCATGATTCTATGCCTCTGGTTCTATTTTGCTCATTAGTTTACTTTGTTCATTATATTCTTCTAATGGATCATATGGTGTATGTCTTTCACCGACTGGCTTATTTTACTTAGCGTAAGTCACCAGTTCTATCCAGGTAGTCACAAAAAGCAGGAACTCCTCTCTTTCTGCTGCGTAGTATTCCATTGTATAGATGTACCACCATTTTGTTTTTTAATCAACTCACCTACTGAAGAGACTTAGGCTGTCTCCAAATCTTGGCTACTATGGAAACCGCTGCTATGAACACTGGGATGCATAATTCTTTTGAATTGGTGTTTCGAGACTCTTCAAGTATATTCCAAGTAGTGGAATTGCTGGGTCAAAAGGCAGTTCCATTTTTACTTCTTTGAGGAAATTCATTCTGTTTTCCACAGTGGCTACGCTAGCCTGCATTCCCATCTTTTCTCCACATCCTTTCCAGCACCTATTGTTTGATTTATTAGTGATAACCATTTTGACAGGCGTGAGGTATATTGTTTTAGCTTTAATTTGCATCTCTCTGATGACTAGTGATGTTGAGCATTTTTTCATACATCTACGGGCCATCTGTATGTCCTCCATGGACGTGTGTCTGTCCAGGTTCTTTGCCCATTTATTAATTGGACTGTCTGTCTTTCTGGTGTTGAGTTGTATGAGCTCTTTACATATTTTGGAGATTAAACCCTTGTCCGATGTATCACTGGCAAATATGTTATTCCATGCAGTCAGTTCCCTTTTCAATTTGGCATTAGTTTCTTTAGCTATGCAGAAGCTTTTTAACTTGATGTAGTCCCATTTATTTATTTGTCCTTTATTTCCCTTACTCAAGGGGACATATCAGCAAAAATATTGTTACTCGAGATATACGAAATTTTACTGCTTATATTTTCCTCTAGGACTTTAAGGGTATCACGACTTATATTTAAATCTTTTATCCATTTTGAGTTTATTTTGGTGTATAAGATGGTGGTCTAGTTTTGTAGATATCAGTCCAATTCTCCCAACACCATTTATTGAAGAGATTTCATTCTTTATTCCATTGTATGCTCTTGCCTCCTTTGTCAAATATTAATTGACCATAAAGACATGGATTTATTTCTGGGCTCTCTATTCTGGTTCCATTAATCTATGTGTCTGTTCCTATGCCAGTACCACACTGTTTTCATTACAGTGGCCTTATAGTATTGTTTGGTATCAGGTATTATGATTTCTCCTACTTTGTTCTTTATCAGGATTGCTGAGGCTGTTAGAGGTCTTTTTGATTCCACATAAATTTTTGAAATATTTGTTCTAGTTCTATAAAATTTGACATTGATATCTCAATAGAAATTGAATGTATAGATTGCTTTTACTACTATGGATATTTTAATGATGTTAATTCTTCCAATCCATGAATATGGTATACTTTTTCCACTTATGTGAATCTTCATTTTTTTCTTCAGTGTCCTAAAGTTTTCCAAGTACAGGTCTGTTAGCTCCTTAGTTAAATTTCTTCCTAGGTACTTTATTATCTTTGTTCCAAAAGTAAATGGGATTGTTGTCTAAGTTTCTCTGTTAGATAATTATTGGTTTATAAAAATGCCACCAATTTCTGAATATTGACTTTGTCTCTTGCTACTTTACCAAATTCATTTCTCTGGTCAAGCAGTGTTTGGGTGGAGCCTATACAGTTTTCTATGTACAATATCATGTTGACTACAAATACAGTTTTAATTCCTTCTTTCAAATTTAGATGCCTTTTTATTTCTTCTTATCTGATCATTGTGGCTAGGACTTCCAGTACTATGTGGAATAAGACTGGTGAAAGTGGACTTCTCTGCCTTTTTCCTAATGCTAATAGAAACACTTTTAGTTTCTGTCCATTGACTATGATGATGGCAGTAGGTTTTTTCATATATGGCCTTATTATGTTGAGGTTTATGGCCATAAATCTCCCTTTATTCCCACTTTACTGAATGTATTTATCATAAATGGGTGCTGTACCTTATCAAATGTTTTTCTGCATCTATTGATATGATCCTGTGATTTTTGTTTTTCATTTTGTTTATGTGATATATCACATTTATTGATTTGTAGATATTGTACCACCCATGCATCCCTAGAATAAATCCCAATAGATCATGATGTATGATCTCTTTCATGTACTGTTGGGTCTGGTTTGGTAATATTTTGTTAAGGATTTTAGCATCTATGCTCATCAGATATATTAGCCTGTAATTGTCTTTCTTATTGTGCCTTTGCCTGGTTTTGGAATTAAGACAATACAACCTCATAAAAAGAGCTGGGGAATTTTCTCTCTTCAATTCTTTGGAATAGTTTCAGGATAGGTGTTAGCTCTTCTTTGAATGAATGGTAAAATTTGCCTGTACACTGATCTGGTCCAGGGCTTTTGTGTGCTGTGAGTTTTTTGATTACTGATTCAATTTCATTAGTTGTTATCAATCTATTCAGGTTTTC